ACGGACCTGCCGGCCAGCCCGACCTGGCTACCTGACCTGGTTTGGTTTTAGTGGCTTCCCGCCACGCCTCCCCACTGGTAGCCTGGTGATATTTAGGTGCACTGATTACCTCTAACTCAGCTTCTCTCAGTTCTCAAATGTTTCACCAGCTTGTGCCATTCTAGTTCAACTATTTGTGCAGGTTGTAGAGCCGCCATCTCTCAGATCCATGACTTTCAGCAGCACATGATATCAGCTTGTCATTCCCAGGATTGCAGTTAATGGCTCTCTTGTACCTCCCTTAGCGTCGTGGGTGGCACCTCTTTGAACTGGAGCAAGTCAGCTGCTCGACTGGTCTATTTATTTCCTGTTCAAATTTGGGTGTATCTGCCTTACTCCAGGGGTGGAGCCCAAAAGGCGGTGGAGCACACCTTGTTGTTAGAAATGGGAGGGTTTGTGGTGTTGACTTGGGTCCTTACTCCTTGCACTGGCAGGTGCCATTACCAACCAATGTTTCTGAATCTTCAGTGAACACCGAACTTGTCACGGCACTGCAGGAAGAATTTTAATGCAGCGCTGTTGTTTTAAAATTCAAAGCTGTTAAAATATAATCAGATGCGACATTGCATGCCCAGGTTTCATTTCCGAGAAAAATTTTTGTTTCCAAACAAAATTTGTGTTTTAAAAGTTGATCTGATAATATGGGTCACGCATTGTCATGCAGCAGACAGTAGAGCCATCTGGTCTATTTCAGTTATTTTGCTTATCAGTATTACGTGTCACACTTATTTCGGAGTCAGGACTAAAATAAAACCGTAGCCATCTAGCGTAACCTTTATTAGGTTATTGTTAGTGTGAGAGTTTGGTAATAACCAAATCAAGTCAGAACTATCATGATCATGATGTAGTCGAAGTGTCCGCCCGCGCAGTACACCTTACTCGCGCTCGCTCAGACTCTATTATTGGGAATGATACCCAGAATAGTAACTCAACCTCCTGACTGTAACCCATATTTAGAGGTGAGCTATATTAGGATTGGTCACGTGTCTGGCTGATGGTGGACCACCCACAAACCCCCAGTCAGGAACTGGCAGGTGTACTTGCTTGTTTCTCCTTATATAGTCATGGTTTTTAATGGCTTGTCGCGTTCTGTCAGCTATAAAAAATTATTTCATAGCCGTTGATTCGCTTTGCCTGCATGATTTCGTTCCTCCTACACCACTTAGACACAATTTGAGATCATCTTTCCACTTGGTTCGAATATAGTCTTTAGTTTCCAGAAATACCACTGCATATTTCAGGATGATGATGATTTAATCGGAACTTAATTGCCGATTATGGATTGTTTTTATGGCGGCACTTTGAACTGTTCTCCAAGATTAGTTGGGTCACCTGATCAATTATCGGTTACATAGTTCTGAAGCACCCTAATTGGAGACTGCTGTGTAAAGGTACCGAGACCATGCCTTTCGGCTCTCTGACCAATCACTATCAGTTTAATTTGTACCAGTAATCCTCTGTGTGTTCTCCTCTCTACAGGCAAGACCGGCCATAACTTTTTGACCCTATTGACGCTAAATTATCGTGTTTCTAATTTTTCTCACGCCCTTAACCGGTTGTTTCTGTTTACATCATTGATATTCCTGGAACATGCCAGTTGTGGGCCTGCTTTTTGCAGCTTATACGCCGGTCTTATACTCAAACCAAAGGTCTTATCGCTTTACAACGACACCAATAACGCGGTGACCTTGTTACTGAAAAAGATTAAATTACTTATTTATAGTCCCACTCTCTTTGGAGGGGTTCTTATCTCACAGAAAAAATGGTCTTTCCCACGCTGCCCACCGTGATAAGGGCCCTAATATAAACTACCCGTCTTTTAATGCCTTTTTGATGATTTCATTATTATTGCAAATATTAGGTTAGGCTCGCGTGATCTGATTCAAATATATAATATTCAGCTGTTGAGACTCGTGCCGGTTTTAGTTTCACCTTCTTGTTGTATGCGCGGTGGATACTGTTGTGCAGCTCTCGTTGTTTATCTCTCGTGTTTTTAAAATGCTCCTAATTCCTACCATTCCTGGAATTCCCTCTCTAGATCATATTTTCATTGTCATAACTTCTGATGTATCGATTATGGTCTGAAAGACGAAATCGTGCCCTATTTAATCAGAATTATAGACACCACATGCCTTCCAGAAGGACTGAATAATAAATTGAATAACTGGATAATATGCGGGGTAACCTTGATAAAAGAACCGCCTGCATTTGCTCTCTTATCTTCCAAACATGGTCCCTTGTTTGAAGCGCTGTAATATTTCTAGGAAAGCCGAATGTAATTTGTCTAATATGTTTTAAACTAGGGGGTTGCTGCTGGTTTTTGGAAATTGTAATTTCACCTTGTTTTTAGTATATATAACTGATAACGGTGCCACTAGCAGACATATTTCATTTCATTTCTTTCGTTTCTAGCTTTATGCTTGCCCCGGAATGGTATTGCTTCTGACACCCTTCACGATGAAGATTCTGCAACGGCCTCGGAGCCGACTTGCTTCAAAAGGTACTACAAAATTTAATAAATTAACATTGTCATCGTTATTTGACTGAGTGGTTTAACCTTTTTCGATCTTCTTGTTTTAATCTGCATGAACTACATAATTTGCTTGTACCTGATTTGTAGAGAACATATCACTGCTCTCTTTCTCTACTGTATTACAACCAACCAATGAAGACGGCTTGAACTACTTGATAAACTGTGCTTCAAAGGGCTCAATTGACGCATTGAAAATGCAGCTTAGAGGGCGTCCAGTGGGCTCTGTGACAAAGTCACGATAACGTATTTGAAATGCAGCTTTGAGGTCCACTTTTAAGTTGGTCCAATGCTAAACAAGTTGTTACTATCCGAGACTTCGTCTAATTGCTGCATTCTTAGAATCACGGTCTATCCGCTATAATTTCTCAGTATTTATCAGTACAGGGATGATCTCCTCAAATAGGTATAAATACCTATTTATAAAAACCCACCATTTAAAAGCTATGCTTTAAATTTGACAGTTGTTGCTTTGGGTGTGCTGGTTCACTGGATCATTTTTAAACTGTTCTGGGTGTTGAAAACTCGGATCAGTACAATTTTAATGGGCAACTCCATAAAAGAGCATTTTATATGGTTAATGAATACGACTATTGAGTTACACCCTTATTTATCGTTATTTATCAGCTGATATCTCCACTATCTCATTTAATAGCAGTTCTGCTGTGTTTTTTTCTTACTGTTTAAGAAACATTACTTCATGTCGTTCATCTAGGATCGTGCTCATGTGTAACATAAAAGTTGAGTTGGTGGGTTGTGTTCTGGGTTGTCTCCAAGTTTACAACAGTTATATGACCGGTTATCTAGGTTATCTCTGCTATCCAGGTCTGGCCTCGTTCTTCTCTTTCCCTCGTTAACAGAATTGTGTTAATTGTAGGCGCGGCACGGCTGCATCTAATAGGGCAACAGATGAAGGCAGCAGTAAACTTTGCGACTAAATTTAGGGAAATGAGTTTTAAACCGAATCTAACACGGCAGAATAATTTGGAGCAATTAGCTGCTGTCTAGAATCAGGATGTCACGTGCCCAATCTGTGACTTACCCGCCACAATCCCACCAATCACAGCGTCTCTCTCTCTCCCACATGACACGGAACTTGCCGGGGCACCGGTATAGCGTCTGGAGCAGCAAGCCTGCTGAGCGTGCGTTGCCTTGATACAAGCTGGTCACGTGTCCCACGCACGTGCACTTCTTCCACCCACGTGGTACACAGAAAGCACTAAGCAATATACACGCTTATTATAGAGAGGCGTGGCATTATGTGCTGGACTGCTTGCTCTATATAATATCGATACACCGCCTTCAGCTGCACATTGTAACGTGTACTCTCTTGCAATTCTCCATCTCTCGCTCGCTCTTTATTGTAATGCTTTTAAATCTATTCATGCACTTGCTTGCATCCGCTATCAATGCATTAGCCTGTTTAGAACAGAACAAAAACGAGATTTAACTCTTATTGTTGGGGGATTTTATATTTTCTTAATATCGCTGCGGTTTCTGCATGACATAATGGTCGCGGCATGCGACTTATAAATTGGTTAACACTTTCACGCGCCTTATTTTGTCAGTTCCAGTCGCTCTCTTGCCCGTTATCATCTAGATTTCCTTATCACCACCTCTCGTCAAGTACTAAATTGACCCGTCCAAGTACCGGATTTTCGTTTCCCACAAATTTGATACTCAGCCGTGTCATGCACTAATCTTGTGATTATCTAATTAAAGTCATTAAAACGCCCGGTACTGCCCTGTAAAACCTGGCCACTGCTAATTTAGATTTATATTTTAATGACGTTATAATTGATTATGTAACTAATGAACGTACTTGTGAATTAGATTTATTGATGATGGTTCAACTTCGGTTTGCGAGAAGAAGACCTTACAGTTGGCACAAATCAGCAGGTAGCCACCTCCTCTCTCAGTTTACACTCATTCTACACACTCTCACACCTCCACCGTGATCACCCTCATGTGTTAATGAATGTGTCGTCACGTCGCCCCTAGTAACGGGTCACATTCCTGACCGAGACTACCCTCGCAGGACCAGGACATTACCTAGAATCCTTCTTTACCCGGAAATAGGGCCCTCCATTAGCCGGATACCGCAGATTCCTGGGATATCTTAATTATTGGGAGCACACAAATTACAAATTAACTCAGATCGCAATTTGGATTTGTTCCCTGTACAGGGGGTTGTCTGATATAATCATGTGACATGCTGTGATACTGTCGTGTACGTTATCACAGTCACACGGCCCTTTTCCTGTTTCACATCATTACAGCTCATTTCACCAGTATCTCTGGTGCCTGATCACATCCCATCCGACCACAATCACTTTAATTGCCCTCAACTTTGACGTGCTTCATTTGATTTTACACCCAAAATGTAAAGATTTAATATCCTGTTCGATTTTGACACCTGCTCTTATTTCAGAGGACGACGGAAGATACGTGATAACGAATTCTGGCACCAACACTTTCTGTATGCACATCAAGACAGGAACTGATATAAAGTCTACTCAGATCTTCCCAACGGGGGATGGTAGATATATGATGGGATCTCAGAGCCACGAATCTTTGACTCAGTGTATCGACTCTAAGGGAAAATCTTACCCTAACCTGAGCCCTGTCAAACGAAAAAACGTAAGTTTTTCTTCTTTTTCCCTTGCAAGGTCAAATATAAATAACAGATTTAACTCCGATTCTAACTTAACTCCATGTTTTATACTACTGATTTGAGTCGAAAGCTGATAATATTAACGAACCAGCATGTTTGTGAGGTTTTACTAACTATTCTTATCTCCAGGTCCGGAGTGTTATCTACGGATCTAACCCTCAGAACAGACCTTTAGTACGAGATGATAAGATTCCTGCTCGATGGAGACCTTGTACGTGTTTATCATTTTTTAAACGTCGTTTTTGTGCGTGTTCAATGAATTTCCTTCAAATCGAAGTTCTATTTCTAGAAGTTTTCTCACCTCAACAAAAATTCTTTCAAATTATCTTATTATTTCTTCTTGTTTCACCCGACTTCCGGTGTTCGCGTCTAAACTGTATTTAATTAAATTTAAAAATAATCAAATAATGTCTTGTGACATGCTAAACAGTCTCATTTTCAGCAACCGCTAAAGAGTGGAAACCAATTAATATATTCTTCGAGACGGACGGAGACAATGCTGTTTTCAAGAGTACTGATAAAAAAGGAGAGAAGGTTGGTACATCATTTTCCGTTCTTGAAATTAGCAATAATTTCATTTCTTAGTTTTGCGATAAAATTAAGATTTTGTGGGAAAGTTTTAAGTGAATCTTACATCATCTCTTTGTGTTACTTTACCGAAAATCAACGCCCGTCTTTCAACATCGGTAAAAGTAATTTCATTAGAATAAGGTTTATTGATAAGCTTGTTTGACATTTAAGTATCTCTGACATCATTTGATAAAAGTCTCACTTTCCCGAATGCCGAAAATTACGCAACTTTCGTCCGTGTTTTAACACCCCAGCAGTCGTCACAATTCTGGAATTAGATGACATAAAAATGAAGGCGGAGCTGCAAAGTTTTACATATTTGCTTTCTGCAGGTCGAGAAGCTGATCCCGCTAAGAAGTTGCCGAGTGTACGAGGTTGACAAGAGCATGTTCAACTCTGCTTTCTGTTTGCAGATCGTTGTTACGGGCTTGAACCGAGAGGTTTATGGACATTTCATTGAGGTGGACAGTCACCACAAATACTTGGTTAGTTCGCCATTTCATTGTATTTATTTCAGTTCAGTGTATTCATCAGTAAAATATGTTTTGATTCTTCTTTCTCTAAACCTTTTTACTTAAAGAAAATTTAATGATCTTATCTCACACAGGAACTGCTAGCAAAGCTCCAGAACGAGCCATATCCGGTTGACAACGGACCCAGCCGACCAGGAAAACGGATGAAGAACCTCAGGATCAAAGTGTGCCAGGTAGACGGACCTGCTCCCGTTAGTTTGCCCGGTCCAGTGTTTTGCCAAGTTGGATTCGATGACTCCACCGTGCAACGAACACCCAACGCTCACAGCCCCAAGAAACTCTGTTGGAACAGCACTTTGCACTGTAAGCACAGTAACATCTGTAAAAGCAACGAACTGAAAGTAAAGTTGTGTTACAGTAAGAACAAGAAGCCCTGCGAGCTCGATGCAGCAACAGTACCCCTTAGTGAACTTGATAACATGACTTTCAAGACTCTTTACCCTACCCTCAACATCAAGGGCCAGGTTAGAACCGAAAACATTGCATATTTCCTTTTTAATCCCACACAAATTTACTTTTTGGGTCACGTTTGCGGAGTTCTATTGGAGTTCTGCTGACGATGTGCACCACTATCGGTTTTATATACTTTTTATCGTACAATTCTAATAGAATTTAAGTCGGCTTTATTTTGCGTTAATTTCTTTTGAAATTGATCACGTATTAACTTTATCAATGTTAAGGTGCATTCTTGCGAATTCCTATTTTAAAATTATACAAATGGCATTATACCCGATAAATTCTAACGTTGTCTCGTGTTTCAGAATAACCAGGCCAGGTTGAAACTGGAGCTTTACTACCGTGATCACGCAGTTTTACAGTCATCGTATTACCACGATCTGGTGAATGAGCTTCAGAAGGACAACTTCAGAGCCATCAAACTGTTAAGGCACATTCATTGGAACCAGGACTCGCGAGAAACATTCGCTAATGGTAAGTTTAAAATTATACGGATGTTGGGGTTAAGCGGGGTTGAAAGTTTGGCTATTTCTGGCCCTGATTTCAGATTCTCAGGTGCATGTTCAATAAGCACTGACATAAAATGCCCTCCACGTTTCCTCCCCTATCATCTGAGCAAATGTTTTAAAATTAAGTCTCTGAAAGGTTTGATATAAACTCAAGTCTGACATTCCTCCCGTCCCTCAGTGCTGCTCACAGTGTACGATAAGACCAAAGTGCACCTGATAAAGGAGCTCATATCGGAGGAGATTGCCCGACATCCTGAGAACGACAAAGGCTCTTTATTCAGGGACAACACCATCACCACCGCCCTGATGGTCGCTATCCTCAACGCTCCACCTTGTGGAGTATATTGGGATAACGTTTTCTCGGGCATTGTCGCAGATATGAACATGAGAGTCAAGGTGAGTTTCAGCATGCACATGTTGTGGGAATATTTCTTATCGCCCATGACTGGACCTGGAAGTTGTGGGAACCTGTAGTTTCCGTAGAAACGATTATACAACATTATCGAGCCCGGTGTCAAATTCGATTAATTTCGCACGTTATAATTTCGTAATTTGTCGTTTTATTTATCGTTTGATTTGAGTCAGAGCCTAACCCATTGACGTACTTCAGGCCAGATCAGAGACAACTAATCTGGATGAGGACAGACTGAAATCACTGATCGAGGAAGACAGAAACCGAGTGTTAGACGCTCTGATAAAGTCAGTATCTGAGATACCAGACACTATCAGAGATGTTATCCGACATATCTTATCTGAAGTGGCGTTGAAGTGGCCAAACGAACCCTCAATCCAGTCCGCTATCTTGATGTAAGTTCTTTGATTTTCTTTTTAAAATCCTTAAAGTTGTATAATTTGGCCGGGCGCAAGTTTGGAGAATATTCTACCAATGAGATTGTAAAAGCCAGGTCATGACACCTGCCTCAAGTTTGTGTGTCCATTAAAGGTGATAAAGGTGGGCAGTCTGAGTGAAACTCAGAATACACGGGGCACGGCTCGGCCGCTAATAAGTTTATGAATTGCTGCATCTCAGATGTAAATCATATTAGGAGTGTTAAGTCACGGCTGGTTTTAGGGTCGCCTTCTTTCCAGTAAACATGATTTGAAAGGTTATCGAATTAGCTACCGGCAATTCGCACCCAAATTATATAATGGCCCCTTAACGTGTTAGTCTAGCCTAACCTCCACGGCTTTGTTGGGGATTAAAGGAGCGTCAGTCTTTCTAGATCACCGCTTATCACTTTTCACACAGTGATAATTTCAGACCGGCTGTAATAATATGAACCACCGAACGCACATTCGTACAAATTGTTGGGATTGTGCTCTGTAACTGAGCACGGCCCGTCTAGGTGACTCTAGTGGCTGTAATATTACTGTCAGGTGTGTACCAGGCTGAGTCTAACTGATCCTATCTCCACAGGACGATTATGTTTGTTAGATTCTACTCCCTGAGACTCTCCCACCCAAAAGATAGGGATCTTCAGTCGATGCATCCAGACACAGCTCAAGCGCTCCTCAATGTCGCGAAATCCATCAAAAGGAAAGACGTTGGAGGGTTTCTGAGTGCGATAATCAACAGTGCTCCAACTTCAAATCTAAATGTAAGTATTCCCGTCCGAGGGTTTAAATAATCTATTTTCGTTCAACTTTAAACAGCTAAAGTAAGTATATGGGCACCTCGCGGTGCAGTACAAGTGAACATGTTTAAACTGTAAGAGCTTCTCACTGACCAGGACGCCTCCCCACAGGAGCAGACAGTACAGGATGTGTCAGGACTCGACGCTGGTGACGGCGCCCACCTCTTTCACCTCATTCAGTCCACTCTCCGTGCCACGGACTCTACATCACCCTGGATTCCTGCCTCCGACCAGGACCGAACTTCACTGAACTCTCTCAAACAGGTCCTGAAACACTTAGAATCTGTCGAGCAGGACGTGGACTGAACCACCACGACAAACTGTTTTTATACTTTTTCGTAGAGAAAAAGAGATAAAGACGGGTCTTGAGATTCAATTTCCTTTGCGCCGACACGAGCTGATCGCGGCGTTATTTCTACAACATGTTTTTAAGTTCGTGGAATTTGTTAGTTTTTAATATAGAACGTTGCTCGGCGACGTGATTTGGTCTGTTTCTTGACTTTAGGTAGAGTACTGTGATTCGAGGATCGTTTTTTACTTTTATACGAAGTAACTTGTGACTCCAAGCCGGACTGCAGAATGACCAGCAAGATCACTAATTCATCATTGCTCTTGCTGCGTTATTTTCTAGCATCTAGCATTACAAAAATCTATTTATGTAAAGAATAAACTTTAGTTTTAGGTTAGGTTTTGGGAAGTTATTGTCAATTATGTTTCCACCTGCGAGAAATTTTTCTATGTCCTATGTATATGTGATATTTCTGACGAAAGTAAAATAGCCAGTTTTCTAAGATGTTTGTTGTTCTGAACCCCCATGATCAATGTGTCCTAGTACATGATTCATGACTTTTGATGTAGCGGTAGTCTTTTGTCCTTTTCTTTGTAACTTGAAAAGTGATGTAATTTTAAATTTGACATTGTCAGTAGGTCTTCAAAATTTGAGTATGTCGGGGCATGGTAAATGGGGATATCATTGTATCTTAGGTGAATTTATACAGCGCAAGTTGAGTGGAGTTAATGTGTATGCAGTTATTTATTTGGAATGGATAGTTTGGAATAATAACGCTGTTGTATTCTGGTATTTACACTAATACTATAGATAACAATGTTTGTATGTTGTATAGAGTTTATTATTTCAGTTTTAAAATTTCGTGTCTTATTTTTAACTCTGACGATAGCATAAAAGTTGATCATCGTACAATGATCGTTCAATCGTGCCAGATACTTCAAATGGGGAAACTATTGCGATTTTTTTGCAGATGGTTAGTTTATTATGCACATTAACCTGAATTTTGAAGGCTGATTTTTGTTTTGGGGCAGATTTCTAACACACTGTATATATTTTTGCTCTAACCAGAGCCCTCTCGCTTCACATAGCCATGTGTCTACGCGTACTGCCAACTGCGTGACGCGCTTTGCGCTTGTTTCACAAGGGCTCTGGTTATAGAGCAACCCTCTCTGCTCTCGCTTACAGTAGCGCGCGACCGCCGAAGGCGGTACTAATACTATTCTATGTTATACCTTACTCGGAAATATTATGACTGGGATAAAGTGGTGGGTTTTAAAAAATTCCGCCATATTTTTCCCGGTCAACAATTTTACCAGTCATAATAAAACCCGCCGAGTCAGATTATGGGGTTCCAAGGGGGTGGTGATCATCATATTTTACCTGAAGTCTCATATGTGCTAGAGAAGACGTTTGAAGCAGTGGATGGAGGGCTGTAACTTTATTGGCTGTTGCTACCATAATTTCGTTATAAAAATCACAATTTGGTTATAGAAATCAGATTTCAGGATGGACCGTGATTCTCATTTCTCTTGGCCTTGCCCATGAATCAGTGGATCGTAGAGAAGAAAACAATTTATATGTTATAGAAGAAATCAATGGAGCGAGAGACATCAGCTGAGTCGCTCAAGATTGATCGCTTCTCGTGTGCAGTGTGTAAACTAAAAAAAGAGGGATTTTTTCCCGTTAAAGTAACTTGTGGCCACATCCCGCTAGAAGTAGAAGTGAGTAAACTGTGCCACTATTTCATGGTCCACGGTGGATTGATTACTGGAGCAGTTGAAGATGCAAAGCCAAGACGTTCCCAAATACCAAGCGGTGGGCAGGAAATCAAGCTCCGGCTGACCTTCAGAGCAGTAGCCCCACTAGCGGACAAAATGAAAGTCTTGTTAAGACAACAATACGACTTCGAATTTGACGGTCAGCAGCAGGGGGATATCAATAATGATAATGGAGGGGACATTAGCGATAATGAGAATGAGAATACGCTTTAATGAAGATTTGACTTATTATTGCTTAGATTTATTTTTCTTTCAATATACGTGTCTTTTTTTCTATTTCTGAGTAATATCAATAACTGTAAATTGAAATAAAATTAACTTCTTTAACAAGTAACAAAAAACAAAAATTTCGGTTGAAAATTTGTTGACCTCTGAAAAAAAAACTTGAAAGGTCGGCCACCGGTAAATTTATGACCGGGATAATTTGGCGGGTTTTGGGAAAGTCCGCCATATTTTTCCCGGTCATTAAATTTCCCAGTCATAAATTAACCCGCTACAATATTCCCGAGTAAGGTATTTTGAAACAATGAACAAGCGTTCACATAGCCATGTGCCTACGCGTACTGCGTGACGCGCTTGTTTCACTGCAAGCGAGAGGGCTCTGGTTAGAGCAAGAACAAGCGCGTCACGCAGTACACAGTAGTAAGCGTAAACACATTAAGTTTAACAATAACATTAACGGGTGATACTCGTAAAATATTTGTTTCAAATATTCAGGCAACAGGACCGTCGACGAGTCCAACTCGGCGCGCGTCCTGGTACTGGTACAGTGGTAGGTTATAATTATAAACCTACAAGTAGACACATGGCTAAGTTGTAAGTGAACGTATATACAATTACAAGTCGTGACTAAAAAAAGTGCCTCAATTTTAATCTGTGGACTGTGGAGTGTGGAGGGATTTCTGTACAGAAATTCGATATAAGTTAAGTTTCTTTGTTTGTTTGAAAACCCCGAGGGGTACCATTCGTCCATTCGTTTCCCAAGATTCGCCCTATTTTATCTGTTTTTAATAAAATATCAGTAGTATTTGCTGAGCGGAGCTCATATCCTGTCCATGTCAGTGTCATTCCGCAAAATCTTTGCTACACGTTGTATCATGTATACCCCTCTTGTTGCTTGTGCAAGCGAAGCGTGCACTCCGGCCGGCTTCGCGTGCGATCAAAAGGAAATGCACTTGCAACTGCAAGCGTGTGTCAACCAAATTTCTCTATTCTGGCTGAATTTGGGAAATTTTAGTTTTCTGTGCCTCCGGCAGACCAATTGGAGAACCTTTCCGTCGTTAACTTACGGCACAATAAAGTTCTCATACTCATAGTTGTCATATTCTGGACAAAAAGTTCGGGGTGGAAAAATGTTTGAAAAAAATTCAACAGACTTTAACTTGGACGGATCTTAAATGAACAGACTTTATTTGAACGGACATTATAAATGAACGTTAGGGCCTCCAGCGTTCAATTAATGTCCGTCCAAATAAGGTCCGATAAGGTATATGACAAGAACAAATTCTGAAAGTCTCAAACTTCTATTTTGTTCATAAGTTAGAGCCATAATTAGATTTAGATATTGCGCTGTGACAAGGACAAAAGAAAATCGCGATTATTTAGGCCAAACATCGCGGCGCTGCGACAAGCAGAACTAGGCAAAATCGCAGCGAATTCGCAGAAATTTCCACGGTTCTTCAAGTGAACAACAAGTTCAAAGTTGTTCTTAGGCACGTGGTTCTGGAACAAATAGTCCTATGGCATATTATCATTATGGTTATCGGACAGAATGAGGTTTAAATCAATTTACATTTTGAAGCTCAGTGGCTTTTTGTGGGCGATTTAGAGGTGGCGGCATGTTGCCAGCATTGTGGCATCCTTTGTATAATTTTTTCGCTATCACTATTACTATGTTCGTAGAAATATTTCCTTTACCCTCATGAGTTTTTGTCTATATTGTGTTCGAAAAGGTATATTATAAAGTCATAATATAGATTCATAATATAGATTAATTATCTTAACAATTGGTCAATGTTCTCGTTGTTCCAAATCTCACTAGTAACAGATTAACTGCTAACTAACCTTATGCCTAACACATTTGACATCACATACATATTATGCTATTTGATCCAGAAAACCCACTTCCCGATACTCCTGAAACTTGAAATTTTTTTACAGTCGATTTGGTCAACGTCTAGACACCCTGCAAAATTTCAAATCTCTAACTCATTTTTAACATGGTTTTTAACATTTAAGGCACCTAAATATGGCGATTTTGGGGTTTTTACCTAATTTCGTATAACATGCTGGCGCGTATTTTGCGCAAATTTCTTAAAAACCTCCACATAACTATTTCTTATTCCTGTCATCTTTAAAATTGAATTAGAATGTTTTGAACTTAAATATACCTGCTGAACTATTTTCGATGAGTCTTAATAGCCTGGTCGCAGCACTTTTTGTGTTTTAAGTTTAGCAAATAAAAGAAATTAGCAAATAAAGTAAACAAACGTACATAAATAGGGCAGTTTGTGAGTTCAAGTACAAAGTAAGTAATGAGTATCATTCAGTCGGGGGCAATGGCGCAACCGGCTGTTCAATTCTTAAACTGGACAACAGAGTTTCGTTTAATTTCATATTTTCATCCTCAATGTCAGTTGTCGTGCACAATCCACCATACTGCAAAGTTTCAGTATCATCTACTGCTTTAGACAATCCGATGTTTCTTCTCATCATCCGGAGAGCATGACGCTCAGCTCTAGGAAGAATAGGTGTTGGTGGTGACGAAACTGTAACTATCTCTTCTTCCATCAATCTCCTCATTCTCTTCTTGTGTGGCCGAGAATCAGTGAGTTTAGTTGGTCTTGTTGGGTTTCTAATTTCTGCTTCAGTAGAAATTGTCTCTCTTTCAGAAGGTGCACGTATCATCGAAATTGATAAATCAGTTATACTCTTCGCGATTGTTAAGGTCCTCTTGAACAAAAAACCGAGGTATGGATCATATAGTAATGGATTTATGACAGAGTTGATAGGAAGGATCACTATCGAGAATGTTGCATACCAAGGTGAAGCATCTACAATAAGTAAATAGTGCAATCCTGACACAACAACAAACGGCACCCAACAGAAGAAGTCCGTCAAAATTATAATAGTTATTTTACGTTGAATTTGTAATGAAGTAAATCGCCCTTGAAGGCCAGCTCTTTCACTTTCAGAACATTTTCTCACGTATTTGGAGAAAGTCGATGTTACTACATGTATGTTTATAAGAGCATATGAAGAGAAAATGATGAAAAAGCATGCAAAGTTTAAGGAGAGCAAGGACAAGGTGTAAAAAGCTTGAGGATCTTCTGGGGTAACAAAATACTTGAACAAACAGACTCCATCGTTGCCATAAAAGTGTAGCTTGACACCATTGACACCACCATATCTCTGAGAAAACATGTTCTGCACAAGACGCCGAATCGTTGACCAGGGTAGATTTGGATTTCCCCTATACTTCGAGTAGTACTTTTCCAAAATCGCGACGTGTTTCTGTTTTGATGGAGCACCGACAAAAAGTTTGATTTTTTTGTCATAGAGAAGACCATTGACAAAAAAGTCCTCAAGTCTGTCCAGTAATGGCAGGTACGATATTGTGAATGAAGCTAGCAACACGATAGCCACCAAAGCCAAAATGATGAATGTATACCATTTGTTTCCAGTTGTGCCAGGTCTCGCACTTCTTATATTGATGACTCTACACAAGCTGAGAACCACCATAGCAAACAGCGATATCTGAGATCCAGTGGAACTTACCACGCCCAAAGCCGCACAGTAACCACTTGTTAGCCAGACCAACCTTTTTTTGCAGTATGTCTCTTTGAGGAGAACGTTAACTACTGATAAAACTACAAGATATAGTCCAACCATGAAGTCCCCAAGTGATATCATGAGAATCATCAATTTGTTCAAGAGTTTGTATGAGCAACCAAAATCTCTCAACTCAGTAATCGTTCTCATGAAAACTATGGTGTTAAATAAAGTGGCCAGAAGTCCAATAATCCACGAAGATACCGACAGAAACGGGTTATCAATAATAGATTTAGAGTGTGAGCATTC